TGTATTTGTTTCCGTTTTGTTTTTTTACTTCAAAATAAGATATGTGCAGTGTGCATAGGAATTTGTTCATAGTTTTTTTTTAAACTATAGTCCAGCCCTCCAACAGTCTGAGGGACAGTGAACTGGCCCCCTGTTTAAAAAGTTTGAGGACCCCTGCTCTAGACTCTGGGGCCTGCATCAGAGAAAACAAATTTGACCTGGGATGGCTCTGGCAAGTCTAGGAGTTTGATCAGAAATTGACAAAATGCTGAGATTAAATTTAACTCAACCAACTTTTTAAAAAATCCTCACCTGAGGATATTTTTTTCCATTGATCTTTAGAGATGTAGAAAAGAGTGGAAGGGAGAGAGGAGGGGGGAGAGAGATAAACATCAACACATCGACTGGTTGACTCCACACGCCCCAACCAGGACGGGGGTGGGGGGGGGATTGAGCCTGTAACCAAGGTTCGTGCCCTTAGCTGAGAATTGAACCCAAGACCCTTTAGTCCGTGGGTTGGTGCTCTAACCACTGAGAAAAACCAGCCAGGGCTCAACCCACTTTTTTTTTAAATTTTTTTTTTTAATATTTTATTGATTTTTTACAGAGAGGAAGGGAGAGAGATAGAGAGTTAGAAACATCGATGAGAGAGAACCATCGATCAGCTGCCTCCTGCACATCTCCCACTGGGGATGTGCCCGCAACCCAGGTACATGCCCTTGACCGGAATCGAACCTGGGACCTTTCAGTCCGCAGGCCGACGCTCTATCCACTGAGCCAAACCGGTTTCGGCTCAACCCACTTTTGTTAAGTGATTCCTACATGCAATGTTGGGCCCATAAAGATAAATACAGATTGGTGGCTTGTGAGGCTCAGGTCTACAGGCTGAATATCCTGGAACTTCTCTGCAAAGGGGGCCAATCAGTACAAGAGCCTAAAAGAAAGAGGTCAGAGGTTGATGCATCAGGCGGTAACAGGGACTCTGTTCTGAATTTCCACTGGGCTCTCCCATGTCACCTCACTATGGTTCACTCCCTGAGTGTGAGCACCTTTTGTGATTTCCACTTGCTAGTGATGGGCTACTACCACCTTCTGAGAATGCTCCACTAAATCAGACTAATCACCTGCCCAACTATGAGAGAGGAAGAGCTCTGTGCCCCCTTTCTGAGGATGGCGCCCCAAAGAAGGGGCGAGCACAACCAGGAGTAGCATCTCTTGAGAACAAAACCAGTGAGGAGAAACAGCAAAGTATCATAATTAAGATCCCGTGTTCTGGCACCAAACAGGCCTGGGTTTGAATACTGGCTCAGCACTAATTAATCCTGTGACCTTAAATCATGTGCTCAACTTCTCTGAGCCTCAGTTCCATTTTGAAATTGAGGGCAATAATATTTGCAAAAGAAGGTAATAATATTAGGTTGAACCATACAAAGTTGGCAATTTCATAGACCACACTCTGCCGGGTTTTTGTTTTTGTTTTGAGAATTAAAGAAAGTATTACTAAATTCTGGCACACAGTAAGCACTCAATAAATGATGGCTACCGTCAACAAAGGCAAGCCCACCATGCCCTGGGCATATGAGGTGGGGCCCGCGGATGTGTTATCACCAGATCCATCTCGAAGATGACTTTATTTAAAAATGACATTATCTCTTTATTTCTGAAAGCTGAACCAAAAGGTAAATGATGAAAAGTAAGATTTCTTCCTATCCCTGTACTTCATCCATAGTTCTACTCTGTAGCAACCTCTGTTATGGATTTCTGTGTCTTTCCGAGATATTCAGTGTATAAACAAACATTCATGTATATGTTGCATACATATACACACACACACACAATGGTGGCACACTGAATTGAAGGTAACCTAGAGACCTTCCTGTATCAATACACATCTCTGCCCCATTTCCCCTCCATGCTTTTAACAGCTTTATTGTATTGTATTGTGTGGCTACTACATTAATTTACAGTTATGTGCCACAAAATAATGCTTCAGTCAGTGATAAAGTGCATATACAACGGTTCCCAAAAGATAATGGAGCTGAAAAATTCCTTTTGCTTAGGTACGTCATTGTTGTCATAATGCACGTGACTCACATGTTTGTGGTGATGCTGATGTAAACAAACGTACTGCGCTGCCAGTCGTAGAGAAGTACAGCACATACAATCACGTACAGTACATAATACTGGATGATAACAACTATGTTACCGGTCTATGTATTTACTACACAATACACTTTATTGTTATTTTAGACTGTACTCTTTCTACTTATTAAAGTCTCTTAATGGCCTCACTTTGTCTTGTGATTGATTTAATCTCATGTTTTGTATAGTCACACGCTGCCCAGGCTTATAACCTAGGAGCAATAGTCTAGTGCAGTGGTCGGCAAACACATTAGTCAACAGAGCCAAATATTAACAGTACAATGATTGAAATTTCTTTTGAGAGCCAAATTTTTTAAACTTAAACTATATAGGTAAGGTACATTGTTATTAACTTAATTAGGGTACTCCTAAGCTGGCCTTTGCTAAAAACGTCCTCAATCTGATTGAGGTATGTTCGCTGAGGTCGACCCCTTCCAACTCTCCCATCCTCAACTTGTGCATGAATCTCGCGTGCCTCCCCCGTGCTGCGTGTCTCCCCCCGCGCCCCCCCACTTCTTCTAACGCCACTTCTTCAAAATAGACTCGCCCAGGCTGAAAACTGACTTCTGCACATGGACCACGAAGTTTCAATCGCACTGTACGTGCGCGCCTGCACGTGGTATTTTGTGGAAGAGCCACACTCAAGGGACCAAAGAGCCGCATGTGGCCACGGTTTGCCAACCACTGGTCTAGTGTATAGGAGGCTTACCACCTAGGTTTGTTTAAGTGCACTCCGTGATGTTCGCACACGATGAAATCGGAAAATCGTCAAACTCGCCAACTGCTGCATTTATCAAAACATACCCCCATCATTAAGTGGTGCTTGACTGTATTTATGGAGTCTCTTATTGACTGATATTTGGTTGTTTGAAACCTTTTGTTAAAATAAACAATGCTGCAATGAATATTCAATGAGTATACACATCAGACTATATCTGAAGGATAAAGTCCTGAAATGGAATTGCAGGGTTAAGTAATTTACATTTTTAAATGGCCAAATAGTTCAAATTGCCCTCCTTTGAGGCTATTCTAATTCATACCCCAGCCAACAAAAAGTGCCCATTTCTCCACAGAGGAGGGGAGGGGGGCAGTTTTGAATTAGTTTTTGACAGAAGGGAGAGAGGGCTCAGCAGCCAGCCTGCTGGGAAGTCACCTGGATCAGGAGTGTAAGGCACCCTACCATCAGCATGTATGAGGCGCTCTGCAACCTACAAGGAGCACAGATTCTGCACACAGATACCAGCCTCATAGAGACAAGAAGGGGCCAGGAGGAGGCGCGCAGGGGGAGGAGGGGAGGAGAGTGGAAGGTACAAACTTCTCCCTCTTAGCTGGTGATTCCTGGAGAGGGCAGAAGGTGCATCACATTTTCTCAGCTGTTAGTGTTAATGAGTTGGGGAGCACAGGGTGTACCCCACCCTAACCCAGCTCTGAGCAGACCCCTGCCCCCTCAGCAGCCTACCGGAGGGAGGGTGGCTGGACAGTGGACCAAACCCCTTGGAATTTAGGAGGCTTGGGTTTGGGTCTGGCCTCTTCCACTTTTTACTTATGTGAACTTGGGCAAATAATTTTTCTGGGTGTTTCCTCTTTTGTAAAATGGAGATAATAATCTGTAGAAACACTGGGATTGGTGTTTTATAAAGTGTTAAGTGATGTTACCCTATACAGTGTCTGGCGCCTATGTCCCAAAAAGTCTGATGAAAGAACCAGTGACTTTTCCACTGAAATTGTTATTAAAATGATCTTTCAAGCAGAACTTTCGGCTGGAACTACGGCTCTGTCTGGAGGAGTTTTATAAGGTGGATTCATAGCAAAAGCTTATGGAGATGTCCTGGTGGGGAGAGATCCAACAGGGAGCGGACTCTACTCTCAAGCCTCTGCCACCCCCCACGGAGGCCCCCTGGTCCCTAGTGACCGATTCCCCCCTGAGGCTCGTAGGACACAAAGCTCTTGGTGTCACTTGACGCCCAACTTGTTTTCTTTCCTGCACGGCTGACCTGCCTCTAGGAGCCCTAAGAGAACCACCGAGAAATCACAGAAGAGAAAAAGCTGAGATGAGGTGGGGAGGGCAGAGGGAGGGCTGAAACCGAGGGAGAGCACAGGCAACGCTGCGGAGAGCCTGCAAGTGCGCTCCGAGGGCCCCTCCCGGGAGCAACTGGATCCAGCCGGTCCCAAATCCCGGGTCCCCCAGAAAGTCTTCCCCTCGCCTCCCCGTGCGGGTTCCCCAGCCTGACCCGCGCGGCTCCCGGCGCTCCCGGCGGCTGGGAGCTCGGTTCCAGGTGGAGAGGCACCTGCTTGCTCCAGACGCCCTCCGG